TTTACTTTGGATAATTGCTTATGCCTATTTCACCGTAAAGGCTTCAATTATTACAAAAGTTTATAAGAGGAAAAGAACACCTTTGGTTTTATCGCAAAAAGTGGAAATTTTAAACAGACTAGACGCTGGTGAAAGTTCATTGTAACCAATGGCTGAGTTCAACATAGTAAAGTTAACATTGTATGACATAAAGTCTTCCGAAGAAACTATTCTCCATTGTTCACACCGTGACAATGAACAACAAAATTAAAAAAAAAAAACATGATTATGATGAAACCTGGATTGAAATTGAAAAATCTATTGAAAAGGTTGTCAGTTTTATGGAAAGAAAGCCAGCATTAAGCTATGGTTTTATCGCAAAAAATGGAAATTTTAAACAGACTAGACGCTGGTTTTATCGTAAATTGTTGACATTGTATTCCGAAAAAAATCATTACGTTCAAACCGAAATTTTTAAAAAAACATGATTATGATGACGTTTTATGGAAAGAAAGTTCATTGAAAAAATAGAAATTTTAAACAGATAGACGCTGGTGAAAGTTCATTGTTGGCTGAACAACATAGTAAAGTTAACATTGTATGACATAAAGTCTTCCGAAGAAACTATTCTCCATTGTTCACACCGTGACAATGAACAAGAAAATAAAAAAAAACATGATTATGATGAAACCTGGATTGAAATTGAAAAATCTATTGAAAATGTTGTCAGTTTTATGGAAAGAAAGCCAGCATTCAGCTATCGCAATTGCAATAACGGACGCAGAGTTAAAAAAATGTGTCTTTTGTTTAAAATATTTCAAGAACAAAAGCAAAACGAAATGCGGAAAAAGTTGAGAATGACATTAGAAGAGAAAGAATCATCATGCACCAGCGATTAAAAAATCCTCATTATATTATTTGTTTTGCATACGTGGCATACTTAATTCAATGAATTTTCATTAACATTACATAATTTATTTCTTTTTCCTTAAAATCCTTTCCGTTATATTTCACTCACCATTAGCTTATTTTCTTTACTATAAAACACTGAAAATAAATATTAAACCTGATTTCAGTTCTTTTATTTTAATCTAAATATAACCTCTCATATCCGGATGGCCATCTTAGTCCAGTTGCCAGGGATTCTACTGTAGTAAAAAGACTACTAATAGTTAATATACATGTAAATCCTATTTCCTTGATTAACTGTTTTAAGAGAAATTTCAATCGACATTAATGGTAGCTTTTGTGTCAACGAAGACCAAATGTTTCCTACATAGATGGAGCTAATCATACCTTATATATACAAGGTCAAAAATATAGGGGCTGGTACAATAAAAGAAATAAAACTACAACACGTATCAATTCGGTATTTAATCTCCTTCGAAGTAGTCCCCTTCTGAAATCACACATTTTATCCATTGATGGAAGTATTCCTGGAACTTCTTTTTTTTGGTAGGGTTGAGAACACTTGCCTCGTTGCATTTTCAAAATATTTGCTTTTCAAATATTGATTCGTAAATTTACTTTTCACTTAACGACATCAGCGAACCACCATATTGAAAGCAATGAAGGACTTTTGAAGTATTATATTATTATAATTAAAATTTTAAATAAATGAAAAAATTCTTGTAAAACTTCGTTATTCATCGAAAAAATGTATTTCTTCAGACAATAGTGTCCCTCATATAACTTATTGACAAAATCAAATAATAGTTTTTTCTAATTAAATAATATCATAGTTTTATGCATTTATTTTTTACGATTCCGAGCAGATTTTCGATAAAGTGGATAACTCTTTTACAAAAAAAAAAGAAAAAAAGAAAAAAGAAATTGATGATTTACTTTCTCCAAGGAGTCGTGTTTTTAAATAATAGAAAAAATCCACCTAAAAATTTAATTTCTCGAAATTTCATGGAATTAACTAAGTGAGTGGTAACATTTGTAGAAAAAAAACGTTTTACCATGATTTTGTAAAATAAAAATTTCAAAAACAATTTCATTTATTTCTGAATATGTCCTGAAAGTTTCATTAATATCCGAAAATTATTTAAATTTTTCAAGAATTCCCAGATCATTGTGTCTGTAATCAGAAAAAAAAAAAAAAAAAAAAAAAACTAAATTTGTCTTTGGCCCACGAAAAAAAAAAAAAAAATTTACAACGTGATAACAAAACTGTTTCATTATACGAAAAATTGGAGGTAACTATTATATATAGATATATATCTGTATCTATATAAATTGCGGTTTTTCTCTCTTTAATATATATATATATATATATATATATATATTTGTTGTGGAGTATTTTCACAGTGGAGGCTTGTATTTCTAATAACTCGTCCTAAAATAGGTCCGACGTACAAAACGTTAGTAACTTGGAAAATAAGAGTCAGTGGCGCAGCAATCTAGATGGTTGGTACTTCAAAATGTCCGAATCTCGACTGACGCGGTCAACACCATTCAGTATTTATCGTTCCACCCATTTTGAGGACCGAATATGGCACAAGGCCGGTTTTTAATGTGGCGATCCCCGATCCCGTGGGGCCGGCCAAAAATATAGCCTTTGAACCCGCCTAGACGGGTTCAGGCCCTGTCTACCTCCCGGACGAAACCTTGCCCTTCGGCAAAGCTTCGTCCGGTTTCCTCTCTGCGTTAGCAGAGAGTTCGACAGAATTTTGCGCAGTCAGAGACCGCTCAACACCAATCCGTATTTATCGTTCCACCCACGAGGACCGAATATGGCACAAGGCTGGTATTAATGTGGGTTTCTCCGAGCCCGTAGGCCCGGCCAAAAATATAGCCTTTGAACCAGCCGAGACGGGTTCAGGCCCTGTCTACCTCCCCGGATGAAACCTTGCCCTTCGGCAAAGCCTCGTCCGGGTTCCTCTCTGCTAACGCAGAGAGTTCGAAAGAAGGCGTGCGCAGTCAGAGACCGCTCAACTCCAGTCACTATTCATCGTTCCACCCACGAGGACCAAATATGGCACAAGGCCGGTTTTATTGTGGGTTTCTCCGAGCCCGTAGGCTCGGCCAAAAAAATAGCCTTTGAAGCCGATTAGACTCGTTCAGGCCCTGTCTACCTCCCCGGACGAAACCTTGCCTATCGACAAAGCCTGGTCCGGGTTCTTCTCTGCGTTAGCAGAGAGTTCGACAGAAGGCGTGCGCAGTCAGAGACACCTCAACCCAGTCACTATTCATCGTTCAACCCACGAGGACCGAATATGGCACAAGGCCGTTTTTATTGTGGGTTTCTCCGGGCCCGTAGGCTCGGCCAAAAAAATAGCCTTTGAAGCAGATTAGACGCGTTCAGGCCTGTTTACCTCCCCGGACGAAACCTTGCCCTTCGGCAAAGCCTCGTCCGGGTTCCTCTCTGCTAACGCAGAGAGTTCGACAGAAGGCGTGCGCAGTCAGAGACCGCTCAACTCCAGTCACTATTCATCGTTCCACCCACGAGGACCGAATATCGCACAAGGCCGGTTTTATTGTGGGTTTCTCCGAGCCCGTAGGCTCGGCCAAAAAATAACCTTTGAAGCCGATTAGACGGGTTCAGGCCCTGTCTACCTCCCGGACGAAACCTTGCCCTTCGGCAAAGCCTCGTCCGGGTTCCTCTCTGCTAACGCAGAGAGTTCGACAGGAATGCGTGCGCAGTCAAAGACCGCGAGACGCCATTCGGTATTTATCATTTCACCTACGGGAAACGAATATGGCACAAGGCCGGTTTTATTGTGGGTTTCTCCGAGCCCGTAGGCTCGGCCAAAAAAAATAGCCTTTGAAGCCGATTAGACGGGTTCAGGCCCTGTCTACCTCCCGGACGAAACCTTGCCCTTCGGCAAAGCCTCGTCCGGTTCCTCTCTGCTAACGCAGAGAGTTCGACAGGAGGCGTGTGCAGTCAAAGACCGCGAGACGCCATTCGGTATTTATCATTTCACCCACGGGAAACGAATATGGCACAAGGCCGGTTTTATTGTGGGTTTCCCCGAGCCCGTAGGCTCGGCCAAAAAAAATAGCCTTTTGAAGCCGATTAAACGGGTTCAGGCCCTGTCTACCTCCCCGGACGAAACCTTGCCCTTCGGCAAAGCCTCGTCCGGGTTCCTCTCTGCTAACGCAGAGAGTTCGACAGGAGGCGTGCGCAGACAGAGACCGCGAGACGCCGTTCTGCCATACTTGCCACTGCTACTCCTACTTATTATCTATGGGAGAGTCCATTACAATAGAATATTAAAGAGAGAAAAACCGCAACTTCTTTTTTTTATTATTATGTAGATTTCTTCATATTTTATTTTATATATGAAAAATAAAAATTCACATCAGTATTAAAATTGTTCGCAACTTTTACTCTCTTTCGAATATAAACATTTCTTCCGTTGGCACAACAATAATCTCTCTCTCTCTCTCTCTCATACACACACACCTCCCCCCTACATACACACACCACACACACACACACACATATATATATATATATATATTCACCAACACATATACATTCACCCTCTCACCACCAACCATAATTAAACACAAACAAGCATAAATAGATTAACTTTTAACAAAATAAATCAGTTCGTCTGATGATTGCAAAGCAGGAAACTCAGGGTCAAAAATTCATATCCATACAACAGAATATGTTATATCTCTCCCTGATATTGAATGCTGTCCAATAAGTACTGCACATATAAAATAACATATATATATATATATATATATATATATATATATATATATATATATATATATATATATATATATATATATATATATATGTCAATTTAATCATTGATAACGGTTTTATTGGTTAACCGTTCGGTTGCTGCTGATATTTCTTAATTATAATAAAAATAATTTAATTACCTAAGGACTATTTAGACTCACCTTTTAATCAAAGAACCCTTGACCGAAATCAGATTCCTTACTAATCCACAATGGATTTTATTTCACTAATTATAACTTTATCTAATTTGTTTGGTCCTTTGTGTCCGTGTCTTGGGATTTTTCTTCCCTTCCTCCCGTTCTAGTCTTCTCAAATGCATATCTTTCTCTCTTTCGAGTTTTGCTCTTTCATTATCTCTTTCCCTCGTTCTTTATTTATCTCTATTTTATTCTCTCTCTCACATTCTATCTTTCGCTCTTCATCACTATCATTCTCTCCGTCTCTCCCTCTCTCTCTCTCTCTCTTTTCTTTGACCATCTTCCGACATTTTCTTGTGCTTTTGTTCTCTTTCTTGTTTTCTCTGTCGTTCTTCCATTTACCTTTTTTTTCGCTTTCTTTCTTTCTCTTTCGTTCATTCACTGCCTCTCTCTCTCTCTCTTTCTTTCATTCTTTCACTGTCACTTTCTCTCTTTTCATTGTTTAAGTCACTGGTTTTTTTCTCACCTACTTTCAGTCTCTTTCATACTAAAACATCACCTATTAATTTTTCCGCGTATTTGGTTTTTCTTCCCAAATTAAACTAAAAAAAAAGAAAAATTAAAATGAAAAGATTAGGGTTTCTCGCCATATTAATAACGCTATTTTCTGGTTGATCACGCGTCTACATATTTGATGTGTTTAATCAAAATGGCTTAGGCAATTCCTGTTAACTTTTAATTAACCCACCGTGAAACATGAATTTTTTTTTTGTTCCTTCATTTTTTCTTCTTTTGTTAACCATTCATTCTTCCGCTTTTTTCTACATTTTGTTTTCACATTTTTCTTCTTCTAGTTTCTCCATTATTTTTTTCTTCCATTTTTTCTTTTTCTTGTTTATTTATTTTTTCTTCTTTCAGTTCCTCCATTTTTTTCGTCTTTTTGTTTCTTCATTTTATTCCTGTTTTTGTTTCTCAATTTTTTGATCTTTTTGTTTCTTTACCTTTCTATTTCTTCCTATTTTATCATTTTGTTCCACCATTTCTTTCTTTCTGTTTGCCCACATTGTCTACTTTTTGTTTATCCATTTTTCATTCTTTTTGTGTCTTCATTTTTTCTTCCTTTTGTTCCTCCATTTTTCATTCTTTTTGTGTCTTCATTTTTTTCTTACTTTTGTTCCTCCATTTTTCATACTTTTTGTGTCTCCCTTTTTTCTTCCTTTTGTTCCTCCATTTTTCATACTTTTTGTGTCTCCCTTTTTTCTTACTTTTGTTCTTCCATTTTTCATTCTTTTTGTGTCTTCATTTTTCTTCCTTTTGTTCCTCCATTTTTCATTCTTTTTGTGTCTTCATTTTTTCTTCCTTTTGTTCTTCCATTTTTCATTCTTTTTGTGTCTCCATTTTTTCTTCCATTTGTTCCTCCATTTTTCATTCTTTTTGTGTCTTCATTTTTTCTTCCTTTTGTTCCTCCATTTTTCATTCTTTTTGTGTCTTCATTTTTTTCTTACTTTTGTTCCTCCATTTTTCATACTTTTTGTGTCTCCCTTTTTTCTTCCTTTTGTTCCTCCATTTTTCATACTTTTTGTGTCTCCCTTTTTTCTTCCTTTTGTACTTCCATTTTTCATTCTTTTTTTGTCTCCATTTTTTCTTCCTTTTGTTCTTCCATTTTTCATTCTTTTTGTGTCTTCATTTTTTCTTCCTTTTGTTCCTCCATTTTTCATTCTTTTTGTGTCTTCATTTTTTCTTCCTTTTGTTCTTCCATTTTTCATTCTTTTTGTGTCTCCATTTTTTCTTCCTTTTGTTCCTCCATTTTTCATTCTTTTTGTGTCTTCATTTTTTCTTCCTTTTGTTCCTCCATTTTTCATTCTTTTTGTGTCTTCATTTTTTCTTCCTTTTGTTCTTCCATTTTTCATTCTTTTTCTGTCTCCATTTTTCTTCCTTTTGTTCTTCCATTTTTCTTTTCTTTTTGTGTCTTCATTTTTTTTCTTCCTTTTGTTCTTCCATTTTTCATTCTTTTTTTGTGTCTTCATTTTTTCTTCCTTTTGTTCTTCCATTTTCATTCTTTTTGTGTCTCCATTTTTTCTTCCTTTTGTTTCTCCATTTTTCATTCTTTTTGTGTCTTCATTTTTTTCTTTTTTGTTCCTCCATTTTTCATTCTTTTTGTGTCTTCATTTTTTTCTTACTTTTGTTCCTCCATTTTTCATACTTTTTGTGTCTCCCTTTTTTCTTCCTTTTGTTCCTCCATTTTTTTCATACTTTTTGTGTCTCCTTTTTTTCTCCTTTTGTACTTCCATTTTTCATTCTTTTTGTGCCTCCATTTTTTTCCCTTTTTGTTCCTCCATTTTTCATTCTTTTTGTGTCTTCCTTTTTTCTTCCTTTTGTTCTTCCATTTTTCATTCTTTTTGTGTCTTCATTTTTTTCTTCCTTTTGTTCCTCCATTTTTCATTCTTTTTGTGTCTTCATTTTTTCTTCCTTTTGTTCCTCCATTTTTCATTCTTTTTGTGTCTTCATTTTTTTCTTACTTTTGTTCCTCCATTTTTCATACTTTTTGTGTCTCCCTTTTTTCTTCCTTTTGTTCCTCCATTTTCATACTTTTTTGTGTCTCCTTTTTTTCTTCCTTTTGTACTTCCATTTTTCATTCTTTTTGTGTCTCCATTTTTTCTTCCTTTTGTACTTCCATTTTTCATTCTTTTGTGTCTTCATTTTTCTTCCTTTTGTTCTTCCATTTTCATTCTTTTTTGTCTCTCCATTTTTCTTCCTTTTGTTCCTCCATTTTTCATTCTTTTTGTGTCTTCATTTTTTCTTCCTTTTGTTCTTCCATTTTTCATTCTTTTTGTGTCTCCATTTTTTCTTCCTTTTGTTCTTCCATTTTTCATTCTTTTTGTGTCTTCATTTTTTCTTCCTTTTCTTCCTCCATTTTTCATTCTTTTTGTGTCTTCATTTTTTCTCCCTTTTGTTCTTCCATTTTTCATTCTTTTTGTGTCTCCATTTTTTCTTCCTTTTGTTCCTCCATTTTTCATTCTTTTTGTGTCTTCATTTTTTTCTTCCTTTTGTTCCTCCATTTTTCATTCTTTTTGTGTCTTCATTTTTTATTCCTTTTGTTCTTCCATTTTTCATTCTTTTTGTGTCTCCATTTTTTCTTCCTTTTGTTCTTCCATTTTTCATTCTTTTTGTGTCTCCATTTTTTCTTCCTTTTGTTCCTCCATTTTTCATTCTTTTTGTGTCTCCCTTTTTTCTTCCTTTTGTACTTCCATTTTTCATTCTTTTTGTGTCTTCATTTTTTTTTTCTTCCTTTTTTTCTCCATTTTTCATACTTTTTTTCTCCTTTTTTCTTCTTTTTTTTTGTTCCTCCATTTTTCATTCTTTTTGTGTCTTCATTTTTTCTTCCTTTTGTTCCTCCATTTTTCATTCTTTTTGTGTCTTCATTTTTTTCTTACTTTTGTTCCTCCATTTTTCATACTTTTTTTGTTTTTTTTCTTCCTTTTCTCCTTTTTTCTTCCTTTTGTTCCTCCATTTTTCCTCCTTTTTCATTCTCCCTTTCTTTTCTTCCTTTTTTGTACTTCCATTTTTCATTCTTTTTTGTGTCTCCATTTTTCTTCCTTTTGTTCCTCCATTTTCATTCTTTTTGTGTCTTCATTTTTTTCTTCCTTTTTGTTCCTCCATTTTTCATTCTTTTTGTGTCTCCATTTTTCTTCCTTTTGTTCTTCCATTTTTCATTCTTTTTGTGTCTCATTTTTTCTTCCTTTTGTTCCTCCATTTTCATTCTTTTTGTGTCTTCATTTTTTCTTCTTCCTTTTGTTCTTCCATTTTTCATTCTTTTTTTGTGTCTCCATTTTTCTTCCTTTTGTTCCTCCATTTTTCATTCTTTTTGTTCTTCATTTTTTCTTTTGTGTCTTCCATTTTTTCTTCCTTTTTTTCCATTTTTCATTCTTTTTGTGTCTTCATTTTTCTTCCTTTTGTTCTTCCATTTTTCATTCTTTTTGTGTCTTCATTTTTTCTTCCTTTTGTTCTTCCATTTTTCATTCTTTTGTGTCTCCATTTTTTCTTCCTTTTGTTCTTTTTTTCTTCCATTTTTCATTTTTCTTTTTTGTTCTTTTCATTTTTTTTTCATTTTTTTTCCTTTTTTTCCTTCTTCATTTTTCATTCTTTTTTTTTGTCTCCATTTTTTTCTTCCTTTTGTTCTTCCATTTTTCATTCTTTTTTGTCTTCATTTTTTCTTCCTTTTTTTTCCTCCCATTTTCATTCCTTTGTTTTTTTTATTTTTTTCCTCCATTTTTCATTTTTTGTGTCATTTTTTCTTTTTTGTGTCTTTTTCATTTTTGTCTCCTTTTTCTTTTTGTTCCTCCATTTTTCATTCTTTTTTGTGTCTCCATTTTTCTTCCTTTTGTTCTTCCATTTTTCATTCTTTTTTGTCTCCATTTTTCTTCCTTTTGTTCTTCCATTTTTCATTCTTTTTGTGTCTCCATTTTTTCTTCCTTTTGTTCTTCCATTTTTCATTCTTTTTTGTGTCTCCATTTTTCTTCCTTTTGTTCTTCCATTTTCATTCTTTTTTGTGTGTCTCCATTTTTTCTTCCTTTTGTTCCTCCATTTTTCATTCTTTTTGTGTCTTCCTTTTTTTCTTCCTTTTGTTCCTTCCATTTTCATTTTTTTGTGTCTCCTTTTTTCTTCCTTTTTTTCCTCCATTTTCATTCTTTTTTGTGTCTTCATTTTTCTTCCTTTTGTTCCTCCATTTTCATTCTTTTGTGTCTCCCTTTTTTTCTTCCTTTTGTTCCTCCATTTTTCATTCTTTTTGTGTCTCTTTTTTTTTCTTCCTTTTGTTCCTCCATTTTTCATTCTTTTTTTTGTGTCTCCATTTTTTCTTCCTTTTGTTCTTCCATTTTTTCATTCTTTTGTGTCTCCCTTTTTCTTCCTTTTGTTCCTCCATTTTTCATTCTTTTTTGTGTCTTCATTTTTTCTTCCTTTTGTTCCTCCATTTTTCATTCTTTTTTGTCTTCATTTTTCTTCCTTTTGTTCTTCCATTTTTCATTCTTTTTGTGTCTCCATTTTTCATTCTTCCTTTTTTTCTTCCATTTTTCTTTTTTTGTCTTCATTTTTTTTCCTTTTGTTCTTCCATTTTTCATTCTTTTTTTTTGTCTTCATTTTTCTTCCTTTTTGTTCTTCCATTTTTCATTCTTTTTTGTCTTCATTTTTTCTTCCTTTTGTTCCTCCATTTTTCATTCTTTTTTTGTCTTCATTTTTTTTCCTTTTGTTCCTTTTTCATTCTTTTGTGTCTTTTTTCTTTTTTTCATTTTTTTTTTTGTGTCTTCATTTTTTCTTCCTTTTGTTCTTCCATTTTCATTCTTTTTTGTGTCTCTTCCATTTTTTCTTTTCATTCTTTTTGTTCTTTTTTCTTCCTTTTTTCATTCTTTTTTTTCTTTTTGTTCTTCCATTTTTTTTTTTGTCTTCTTTTTTTTTCCTCCATTTTTTCATTCTTTTTTGTGTCTTCATTTTTTTCTTTTTTGTTCCTCCATTTTTCATTCTTTTTGTGTCTTCATTTTTCTTCCTTTTGTTCCTCCATTTTTCATTCTTTTTGTGTCTTCATTTTTTTTTCTTTTTTTCCTTCCATTTTTTCATTCTTTTTGTGTCTCCCTCTTTTTTTTTCTTTTTCTTCCTTTTGTTCTTCCATTTTTTCATTTTTTTTTGTCTTTTTTTTCTTCCTTTTTGTTCTTCCATTTTTTTCTTTTTGTGTTTTGTTTTTCTTCCTTTTTTCTTCCATTTTTTTTTTTTGTGTCTTCATTTTTTCTTCCTTTGTTCTTTTCATTCTTTTTGTCTTCATTTTTTCTTCCTTTTTTTCCTCCATTTTTCATTCTTTTTTTCATTTTTTTCTTCCTTTTTTTCCTCCATTTTTCATTCTTTTTGTGTCTCCATTTTTTTTCTTTTTGTTCCTCCATTTTTCATTCTTTTTTTTTCCTTTTTTTTTTCTTCCTTTTGTTCCTCCATTTTCATTTTTTTCCATGTCTTCATTTTTTTTTTTCTTCCTTTTGTTCCTCCATTTTTCATTCTTTTTGTGTCTTCATTTTTTCTTCCTTTTGTTCTTCCATTTTTCATTCTTTTTGTGTCTCCATTTTTTCTTCCTTTTGTTCCTCCATTTTTCATTCTTTTTGTGTCTTCATTTTTTCTTCCTTTTGTTCTTCCATTTTTTCCTTTTTTTTTTTTTCTTTTTGTTTTCTTTTTTTTTCTTCCTTTTTTTTCCTCCATTTTTCATTCTTTTTGTGTCTCCATTTTTTTTGTTCCTTTTTTCTTTTTTTGTTTTTTTTCTTTTTTGTCTTCCATTTTCTTCCTTTTTGTTCCTCCATTTTTCATTCTTTTTTTTCATTTTTTTTCATTTTTTTCTTTTTTTTTTCTTCCATTTTTCATTCTTTTTGTGTCTTCATTTTTTCATTTTTTCTTCCTTTTTTCCTCCATTTTTCATTTTTTTTTTTTCTTCATTTTTTTTTTTTCTTCCTTTTGTTCCTCCATTTTCATTCTTTTTTGTGTCTTCATTTTTTCTTCCTTTTGTTCCTCCATTTTCATTCTTTTTGTGTCTCCCTTTTTCTTCCTTTTGTTCCTCCATTTTTTCATTCTTTTTGTGTCTCCATTTTTCTTTTTTCCTTTTTTCTTCCATTTTTTCTTTTTTTGTCTTCATTTTTCTTCCTTTTGTTCTTCCATTTTTTTCATTCTTTTTTGTGTCTTCATTTTTTTGTTCTTCCTTTTTTTCCTTTTTTTTCATTCTTTTTTGTTCTTCAATTTTTCATTTTTTTTTCCTTTTTTCTTCCATTTTCATTCATTCTTTTTTTTGTGTCTCCATTTTTTCTTCCTTTTTTTCCTCCATTTTCATTCTTTTTGTGTCTCCATTTTTTCTTCCTTTTGTTCCTCCATTTTTCATTCTTTTTTGTCTTCATTTTTTCTTCCTTTTGTTCTTCCATTTTTCATTCTTTTGTGTCTCCATTTTTTTCTTCCTTTTGTTCCTTCCATTTTTTTCCTTCTCATTCTTTTGTGTCTTCATTTTTTCTTTTTTTTCCATTCCTCCATTTTCATTCTTTTTTGTGTCTTCATTTTTCTTCCTTTTGTTCTTCCATTTTCATTCTTTTTGTGTCTTCATTTTTTCTTCCTTTTTGTTCCTCCATTTTTCATTTTTTTGTGTCATTCTTTTTTTCTTTTGTTCCTCCATTTTCATTTTTTTTCCTTTTTTTTCCTTCCTCCATTTTCATTCTTTTTGTGTCTTCATTTTTTTCTTCCTTTTGTTCCTCCATTTTCATTCTTTTTGTGTCTCCTTTTTTCTTCCTTTTGTTCTTCCATTTTTTCATTCTTTTTGTGTCTCCCTTTTTTCTTCCTTTTGTACTTCCATTTTTCATTCTTTTTGTGTCTCCATTTTTTCTTCCTTTTGTTCTTCCATTTTTCATTCTTTTTGTGTCTTCATTTTTTCTTCCTTTTGTTCTTCCATTTTTCATTCTTTTTGTGTCTCCATTTTTTCTTCCTTTTGTTCCTCCATTTTTCATTCTTTTTGTGTCTTCATTTTTTCTTCCTTTTGTTCTTCCATTTTTCATTCTTTTTGTGTCTCCATTTTTTCTTCCTTTTGTTCTTCCATTTTTCATTCTTTTTGTGTCTTCATTTTTTCTTCCTTTTGTTCTTCCATTTTTCATTCTTTTTTTGTGTCTCCATTTTTTTCTTCCTTTTGTTTTTTTTCATCTTTTTGTGTCTTCATTTTTTCTTCCTTTTGTTCCTCCATTTTTCATTCTTTTTGTGTCTTCATTTTTTTCTTCCTTTTGTTCTTCCATTTTCATTCTTTTTGTGTCTTCCATTTTTTCTTCCTTTTTTCCTCCATTTTCATTCTTTTTTTTTTTTTTTCTTCCTTTTGTTTCCTCCATTTTTCATTCTTTTTTTTCCTTTTGTTCTTCCATTTTCATTCTTTTTTGTGTCTCATTTTTTCTTCCTTTTGTTCTTCCATTTTTCATTCTTTTTTTTTTTCTCCATTTTTTCTTCCTTTTTCTTTCTTCCATTTTTCATTCTTTTTGTGTCTCCATTTTTTTTTCCTTTTGTTCCTCCATTTTTCATTCTTTTTTGTGTCTCCATTTTTTCTTCCTTTTTTTGTTCCTCCATTTTTCATTCTTTTTTGTCTTCCTTTTTTTCTTCCTTTTGTTCTTCCATTTTCATTCTTTTTTTTTTGTCTCCATTTTTCTTCTTTTTTTTCTTCCATTTTCATTCTTTTTGTTTCATTTTTTCTTCCTTTTGTTCTTCCATTTTTTTCTTTTTGTGTCTCTTTTTCCCTTTTGTTCTTCCATTTTCATTCTTTTTGTGTCTCCATTTTTCTTCCTTTTGTTCCTCCATTTTCATTCTTTTGTGTCTTCATTTTTTCTTCCTTTTTGTTCTTCCATTTTCATTTCTTTTTGTGTCTCCATTTTTTTTCTTTTGTTCTTTTTTTCCTTCATTTTTGTCTTTTTTTTTTTGTGTCTTTTTCATTTTTTTGTCTTTTTTGTTCCTTTTGTTCCTCCATTTTCATTCTTTTTGTCTCCTTTTTTCTTTTTTGTTCCTCCATTTTTTCATTCTTTTTGTCTTCCATTTTTTCTTCCTTTTGTTCTTCCATTTTCATTCTTTTTGTGTCTCCATTTTTTCTTCCTTTTGTTCTTCCATTTTTTCATTCTTTTGTGTCTTCATTTTTCTTCCTTTTGTTCTTCCATTTTCATTCTTTTTTGTCTTCATTTTTCTTCCTTTTGTTCCTCCATTTTTCATTCTTTTTTGTGTCTTCATTTTTTTCTTCCTTTTGTTCCTCCATTTTCATTCTTTTTTGTGTCTTCATTTTTCTTCCTTTTGTTCTTCCATTTTCATTCTTTTGTGTCTTCCTTTTTTCTTCCTTTTGTTCTTCCATTTTTCCTTCTTTTTGTGTCTTCATTTTTTTCTTCCTTTTGTTCCTCCATTTTTCATTCTTTTTGTGTCTTCATTTTTTCTTTCTTTTGTTCCTTTTTTCATTCTTTTTGTGTCTTCCTTTTTCTTCTTTTTTGTTCTTCCTTTTTCTTTCTTTTGTTCTTCCATTTTCATTCTTTTTGTTCTTCCATTTTTTCTTTCCTTTTTTCCTTCCATTTTTTGTTCCTTCATTTTTGTTCTTTTGTTCTTTTTTTCTTCCTTTTGTTCTTCCATTTTTCATTCTTTTTTGTCTCCATTTTCTTCCTTTTGTTTCTTCTTTTTGTGTCTCCATTTTTTCTTTTTTTGTTCTTCCATTTTCATTCTTTTTGTGTCTTCATTTTTTCTTCCTTTTGTTCTTCCATTTTCATTCTTTTTGTGTCTTCATTTTTCTTCATTTTTTCTTCCTTTTTTCCTCCATTTTCATTCTTTTTGTGTCTTCATTTTTTCTTCCTTTTGTTCTTCCATTTTCATTCTTTTTTGTGTCTCCATTTTTCTTCCTTTTGTTCTTCCATTTTCATTCTTTTTTGTGTCTCCATTTTTTTTCCTTTTGTTCCTCCATTTTTCATTCTTTTGTGTCTTCATTTTTTTCTTCCTTTTGTTCCTTCCATTTTCATTCTTTTTGTGTCTTCATTTTTTCTTCTTTTTGTTCCTCCATTTTCATTCTTTTTGTGTCTTCATTTTTTTCTTTTTTTTCCTCCATTTTTTCATTCTTTTGTGTGTCTTTTGTTCATTTTTTCATTCTTTTTTGTCTTCATTTTTTTCCTTTTGTTCCTCCATTTTTCATTCTTTTTGTGTCTTCATTTTTTCTTCCTTTTGTTCCTCCATTTTCATTCTTTTTGTGTCTTCATTTTTTTTCTTCCTTTTGTTCCTCCATTTTTCATTTGTTTTTTTTCTTCCTTTTGTTCTCCATTTTTCATCTTTTGTGTCTTCATTTTTTCTTCCTTTTGTTTCCTCCATTTTTTTCATTCTTTTGTGTCTTCATTTTTTCTTCCTTTTGTTCCTCCATTTTCATTCTTTTGTGTCTTCATTTTTTCTTCCTTTTTTTCTTCCATTTTTCATTCTTTTTTGTGTCTCCATTTTTTCTTCCTTTTGTTCCTCCATTTTCATTCTTTTGTGTCTTCCATTTTTTCTTCCTTTTGTTCCTCCATTTTTCATTCTTTTTTTCTGTCTTCATTTTTTCTTCCTTTTGTTCCTCCATTTTTCATTCTTTTTTTTTTTCTTCATTTTTTTTTTTTTCCTTTTGTTCCTCCATTTTCATTTCCTTTTTTTTGTGTCTTCATTTTTTCTTCCTTTTGTTCCTCCATTTTTCATTCTTTTTGTGTCTCCCTTTTTTTCCTTTTGTTTCTTCCATTTTTCATTCTTTTGTGTCTTCATTTTTTTTCCTTTTGTTCTTCCATTTTTCTTCATTTGTCTTTTTTTGTCTTCTCTTTTTTTTTCTTTTCTTTCTTTTTTGTTCTTCCATTTTCATTCTTTTTGTTTCATTTTTCTTCCTTTTGTTCTTTTTTCATTCTTTTGTGTCTTCATTTTTTTCCTTTTGTTCTTCCATTTTTCATTCTTTTTTGTGTCTTCATTTTTTCTTCCTTTTTGTTCTTCCATTTTTCATTCTTTTTTGTGTCTCCATTTTTTCTTCCTTTTGTTCTTCCATTTTTCATTCTTTTTTTCTTCATTTTTTTCCTCCATCCTCCATTTTCATTCTTTTTTGTGTCTTCATTTTTTCTTCCTTTTGTTCTTCCATTTTTCATTCTTTTTTTTGTCTTTTTTTCTTCCTTTTGTTCCTCCATTTTTCATTCTTTTTTGTGTCTTCATTTTTTTTCTTCCTTTTGTTCCTCCATTTTTTCATTCTTTTTGTGTCTTCATTTTTATTCCTTTTGTTCTTCCATTTTCATTCTTTTTGTGTCTCCATTTTTTCTTCCTTTTGTTCTTCCATTTTTCTTCTCTTTTTTTCCTTTCTTCCTTCCATTTTTCTTTCTTTTTGTGTTCCTTTTTTTTCATTTTTTTCATTCTTTTTGTGTCTCCATTTTTTTCTTCCTTTTGTTTCCATTTTTCATTCTTTTTTGTGTCTTCATTTTTTTCTTCCTTTTGTTCTTCCATTTTCATTCTTTTTTGTGTCTTCATTTTTTCTTCCTTTTGTTCTTCCATTTTCATTTTTGTCTTTTTGTGTCTCCATTTTTCATTCTTTTTGTTCCTCCATTTTTCATTCTTTTTTTGTGTCTTCATTTTTTTTGTCTTCTTTTGTTCTTCCATTTTCAATTCTTTTTGTGTCTCCATTTTTCTTCCTTTTGTTCCTCCATTTTTTCATTCTTTTTGTGTCTTCATTTTTCTTCCTTTTGTTCCTCCATTTTTCATTCTTTTTGTGTCTTCATTTTTTCTTCCTTTTGTTCCTCCATTTTTCATACTTTTTTTGTGTCTCCCTTTTTCTTCCTTTTGTTCCTCCATTTTCATACTTTTTTGTGTCTCCTTTTTCTTCCTTTTGTTCCTCCATTTTTCATACTTTTGTGTCTCCCTTTTTCTTCCTTTTTGTTCCTCCATTTTCATTTTTTTGTGTCTCCCTTTTTCTTCCTTTTGTTCTTCCATTTTTCATTTTTTGTTCCTTTTTCTTTTTTTCCATTTTTCATTCTTTTTGTGTCTTCATTTTTTTTCTTCCTTTTGTTCCTCCATTTTTCATTCTTTTTGTGTCTTCATTTTTTCTTCCTTTTGTTCCTCCATTTTTCATTCTTTTTGTGTCTTCATTTTTTCTTCCTTTTGTTCCTCCATTTTTTCATTCTTTTTTGTGTCTCCTTTTTTTCTTCCTTTTGTTCTTCCATTTTCATTCTTTTTGTGTCTCCTTTTTTTCTTCCTTTTGTTCTTCCATTTTCATTCTTTTTGTGTCTCCTTTTTTCTTTCCTTTTGTTCTTCCATTTTTCATTCTTTTTTGTGTCTCCATTTTTCTTCCTTTTGTTCTTCCATTTTCATTCTTTTTGTGTCTTCATTTTTTCTTCCTTTTGTTCTTCCATTTTTCATTCTTTTTTGTGTCTTCATTTTTTCTTCCTTTTGTTCTTCCATTTTTCATTTCTTTTTCATGTTTCTCTTTTTTTTTTCTTTTTTTCCTTTTGTTCCTTCCATTTTTCATTCTTTTTGTGTCTTTTTCATTTTTTGTGTCTTCCTTTTTTTCTTCCTTTTGTTTCCATCATTTTTCATTCTTTTGTGTCTTCATTTTTTCTTCCTTTTGTTCCTCTATTTTTCATTCTTTTTGTGTCTTCATTTTTTCTTCCTTTTGTTCCTCTATTTTTCATTCTTTTTGTGTCTTCATTTTTTCTTCCTTTTGTTCATCTATTTTTCATTCTTTTTGTGTCTCCATTTTTTCTTCCTTTTGTTCCTCCATTTTTCATTCTTTTTGTGTCTTCATTTTTTCTTCCTTTTGTTCCTCCATTTTTCATTCTTTTTGCTACTCCGTCTTTTATTCTTTTCGTTTCTCCGTTTTTCTATTTGTTTCTTTTTTTTTCTTCTTTGTATTTCTCCATTTTTCCTTCTATTTGTTCTTACGTTTTTTGTCTTCTTTATTCCTACGTTTTCCATTCTTTTTCATCCTTCATTTTCCTTCTTTCTCTTTCACTATTATCCTTCTTTTTATTCTTCCATTTTTTTCTCTCTTCTCTTCCTCTATTGTCCCTTCCTTTTTTTCCTATGTTTTATTTTTGTTCCTACTTTTTTCTTCTATTCATTTCTCATTTTTTTTGTTGCTATATTTTTTGTTTTTTGTCGTTATCTTCTTTTTCCTCCATTTTTCATTCTTTTTGTTCCTAAGTTTTGTTTTTCTTTTTTGTCCTCGTTTTTTTCTTCTTTTTGTTCCTCCATTTTTTTCTTCTTTTGGTTTCTCCGTTTTTTCTTCCATTTTTCTTTGTCCATTTTCCTTCTTTATGTTCCTCCATTTTTTTTACTTTTTCTTACTACATATTTCTGTTCTTCCATTTTTATTTATTGTTTCGTAATAAAAAATGATTGGATTTCTAAGTTTCAATCCCCTTTGTTGGT